CACACACGTTTTATCTTTGTATTTTTTATTTTGACTGTGGTGGCAGATGGCTGGTTGTATACACTTGCTAAAAAGCCATTGAACTGTACGTTTAAAATGGGTGCGTATTATTGTATGTAAACTATAATAAAATTAATTTAAAAAGGAAGCCCACACATAATTGTATAACACAAAGGGAAAAGGAAAAAAAAGCACAAGAAACTGAGACATGTACGAGAAGTAGTGATCAACCTTACATGTAAGCCACACTTAAATCCGTAGCCTCAGTTCTCCATAGATACAAAGGGCCAGCTACCTGGTCTCCTAACTGCCCAAAATGAATCTCTTGGTTAAAAAAAAAAGGTAATTTTGGGGGGAAAAAATCACCAAAAGGATCCAACCATGTTTCACCCTTTTTTCTTTGATTTCAACACTGTGCTTTTAGAGGCATGTCAATGAATGCTGTTAAGCTAATGTTCACAGTGACAGCAGAGAGATGCCAACAACTTTGCTGTATGTACCATAGAATACACAACGTCCTGTACAAGAAACTGGAATCTTCATAATGACGATCATGAAATAATTAATGTGTGCTCAATTTCTTACTCTAAGAAGTAGGTGTCAAATAATGCATCTTTACAATTTAATTTTGAAGTGCAATTTAAAAATACCATGAAAAACTACTAAGCGAATGGACTATGATTGTATCTGAATGGGCAAATTTCAGTTAATTGGTTTTAACAAAGAAAACCCCAGATATATGGAATGCCTCAGTCCCCTGGATTCTAAACTATCCAGTGTATCCCCAAGGAGATACACTGGATAGTTTAGAATTTCCAAGTAAACATTTTAAGTTAGCATTTAGAGGTCCTTACTTAAAAGGCTGGGTACTTCTTGTAAACCATTTTATCAAATGTGACAATTCTCATTTTGTCTTAATTAGCCTATAAGGAAGTTTTACTGTCCCCATGTTACTGTCGGAAAAACGGAGGTTAAAAAAAGCAACCTAAACAGAAACTACACAGAACCTTCAATCAGACTCAAATGACTATGCTTTTGTCCTTTCTAGATTTGTAGCTCAGGATTATGTAATTTTTGTTATAGGATCACTCTCCTATAGGATTCATTAACAACCTAAGCATTTTCTAAATAGTCTTTTAAACACTCGAAATCTACACAGATGTGTAGTCCAAACGCTAAGGATGATATACCAGCCCTTCATAAATTCTACCTCAGTTTTATTGGTTTTATGCATGGTAAGAACATGCTCATAAATATTAGAGACATTTTCCTCTCAATGTTCACATGGACTTCTCTGCTGACTAGAGGACAATTTACTTTCCTGTGTTTGAGAGCCATTACACTAGATTTAAAGAATTAGAAGGATTATATGTTTGCTTTTAAATACTGCTTTCTGACACTTCTACAACCTTTTGAGTCGAATCTGTAAAAGGAGATTCGATGGAATCTCGTACGTTGTAAATAATCTCAAACCTGGTATGACGTGTTTAAGGAAAGGACCTGGAGTCACACAAATTTCTATTCTGATAATGCCTCTGCAACTAAGTAGGCCTGCAAAGGCCTGGCAGGAAGCTAACACCACAGAGTGATTCATTAGGAAAAATTCAAGAGTCATACTTATTGCCGATCTGCAGCACAGGTTTGTCTTTTAATGGGCACACTCTCAGTTATAAACAAAATCTGTGCCTGAAAAGTTGTGTGTGAGCTGAGAAGAGAGGAGCGCTTCCTTTTCTGCATACACAGAATGCTTAGCAGGCAACAAAGCATCCAGGAATATCCACCTTACCTCTCCCCACCCCGCCTCTTGGGGCAAAATGAAGTGTTTTGCTGGCACCTAGTAGTTAGAACTTTTATCTCCCACAGAAACAGCATAATAAATGGTGGCTAGGGTTAGGACTTGTCCCACTCAAGGTGAAATGCACACCTATAAACTGATTTGGGAAGGTCCCTAATTTATAAGGTTCCCACAGCAAAATATATTTGAGTTCCAAAAAACCAGCATGCACACACACATACACACACACACCTTCATCATACAACCCAGTTTTTACTGTAGTGACTGGGGGCAGCCTTCTCTTGCACTCTCAAGATTACCTATTTGCAGGTGAACTGCAAAGACCAACATTCTGGTTTGACACACGTACATTACTAAAAAGTCTTATTCAAATGGTACTTAAACTGTAAGAGCTGGAAGGGAGAGTCCAACCCTGTCATTTATCAAGTGAGGACTCCGAGGCTCACAATCACACAGGCGGTTTGGCCTAAGCCATACACCACAAGTGTGACTCCAAATCCAGGTTCCTTCTGATAAATGTCATCAGAGATTAACACCATCCACCAACTGCTGAGCATTTCTAAAGTGGCAGGCTCTTCTTCCACCAAAACCATGGTGTTAAGGCTTTTTTCTTCTTTTTTAATCTAAGCCAATGGCTCTGTAAGTGTAACACCAAAACTCCCCTCTAAGAGCAGTACTTCGGTATCACACCAACACGGTGCAACATATCACACTGCAAACACCACTTTTTGTCTGGCAAGGCTATTCTTCATCTCTAGGGCCACACCACCTACCACACCCTTCTCCGCTTTTATCTGGCCAGCCTATTTCTCAGTTATTTCCCAAGGCTTCTGCATACCAACAAGCTTGTTTGATGTCTGATGCTGCCTGCAGAGAAATATTCAGTAGATGCGACAGTGAGTTTCTACTCTTCCACTGGAGTAGTTAACTTCTCTTCTGCTCTTTTTCAAAGGCTCGTCTCATCAAGGAAGCCCTCCATGACAAAGTTGAGACTGGCTTTCAAACTCCTTTAACTGCAACCACAGTAAGAAATAATTTATGTGACCCAATATACACCCTCTGAAGTCAGTCAGTCAAGTTTGACATAATATTCTTACTATGTATATGATACATTGATACTCTTCATCCTATTCTATTTTCATTTCTTAAAAAGTCCTGGAGAGAAAAAAACCTAGGGGGCTAGAGAGCATTAAGATAATAAAATAAACATAATACACAAATGAATATATAAAATGTCAGATGCTGTAAAGAAACAATGAACTTTACATTTTCCAAATCTTCTAAATTTCTCAATCCACTAATGGATCATGACCTGCAATTTGAAAAATAATGTTCTGTAGCAAGAGTGATTACTTTGACATGATGCTACAGGAATAGAGGCATCAGCAAATACTGAGGCATGAGACCTCCCCCAGAAATGTCTCTGGGGAGACATTTCCTCTCTGCCCAAAGAGATTAGAGCTGTCCAGGTACCACAATGGGGAATTAGTTCTTGCACACTGCAGGTCCACGGAGAGAGAACCAAATAGGGAGGAGACTAAGGTTTTGCTGAAGTGTCATTTCAGGACTAGAAAGAAGAATGGGGCTTTTTCTCCCATGAACTACCTGGGCAGTCTTCACTATCTCGATTCTTCCCCTTGCGTCAGGCTGCCTATATCCAACTGGACTGTCAGCACTTGCAGGCAGGGATTTTATTCTTCCTGAATATCCTACACACCACACAGAAAGGGTGATTGAAGCAGAATTCAAAACAGTAATTAAATGAACAGCGGGATAATTTTTAGATCTAAAATAGCTTTTTTACCTCATGGTTTCTGTTAAACAGTAAACTCCCTACTCCAAAGAACACTCATGCAAAGGGAGGCGTGGGCGAGAAAAAAAAATCTAGGGGGATAGAGAAATGAGATCATAAAAAACACACAGTATACAAATGAATATACAACATGTCAGATGCTATAAAGAATCAATGAACCTTAAACTAAACCTGAAGAATCATCACCAAACCCATACTACATCCCTTTTCTTCCAAAAAAAAATAAGACAAACCATTTATACAGAGATGTGAATTACTAGTCATGCTTTTCTAACTTAAAACAGCACAGTTCCCTTCAACTAGAAGCAGAATTATCTTCCAATCTCAGAAATAGAAAAACTAACTTTTTGCAAGGAGATTCTGCATTCATACTGCAGCACCCTGACACTTCGGCCAAGAGTAATAACACTGACTGGAAGATAATTATTTTCACCTGAGCAAGCTGGAAGGCAGAAGATAAAAAAACACGAAAAATATAGACGGACTTTTCAGGAAGTTATTTAATTGTCCGAACTGTTACCTCTATACAGTTTTTGAAAACGGAGAAGGGAAGGCACAAACTCTTTGGCAGAAAAGGGTTTAAAACTAACAGAATGTAATGCTTTCCAGATCATTCCAATAAACCATGATTCAACACACTGAGAATCAAGAGACATTTCCCCTTTAGGCAGAACACATGAAGCGCTGATCTGCAAAGTTTAGGTGTTGGATCCAGGCCACGGAAGGGCACAACAAATCCTAGTTTTGAAGCTCTATGGATTCCTATTTAGAATTAAACAGGACCAGGAGATTCTTCCCCTTTAGGAAAACAGGAGCACAATTTGTTTCGATTCATACCTATAAAGTGGTGCTAGAGGGTTTGGCGCGGGGTGGGGGCAAGGGGGTGATAAGAAGGAAAGTTGGAGGTGTAAAAAATACCTGCGAGGTGGGGCAGAACCTAACTAACACCCTTAAGACCTGATTCCTAGTAGCAACGGGCCTTCTAAGACAACTTAGTCTCTTTCTTCGTAATCGCCAAAGCGCATTTTGAGACGGGACAGTGGATCGCGATTGGCAGCCGGCAGATATGCCAGACTGAGAACTCCTCCAAGCATCAAATGTCACACTTTGCCATGCTCACGCCCTCCCAGCGCCACGTTTGCTGAATGAATGGGAAAACCGGAATGAATGAATGAATGCATGAATGAATGAATGGGAGAGAGAAGTCTGGTCAGAAGGCTTAGGGCGGGGCCCCACGCCCTGGTAGCCCGCCGGGCGAGGAGGCGACGGGGGCCTTTGGGGCGCCGTGCAGGACACGGCCCGCCGTGGGGTCCGGGTTCGCGCCTAGCTGAACAAAGGCGGCGCGGGATGGCCTGACAGGGGCGCCGGCGGGGCGAGGGCCGGGGCGCTCACCTCGTCGCCCCACTTGAGCACGTCCTTGTGCCGGTCCTTGACGGCGTGGTAGATGTGCAGGAACTGAAGGATCCCGTGCCGCCGCACGTGGTCGGCGTGGCGCTGGGTCTCCTCCCAGGTCAGCGGCGAGCCCTGGGACAGCAGCCCCATGGCCGCCCCCTCTCGGGGCTGACGGCGGCCGCTCGCTCCGGACGCGGGGCGCTCGTCGGACACTCAGCTGCCGCAGAAGACTGCTGCGGCGCGGCAGCTGCTCCGACCCAAGGGGGGCGCCCTAGGGCCGCAGCGGCGGAGGGAGGGTTCGGTGCGCTCCGGATCCCCGGCGCGGGGGGTCCTTGCCGCTCAGGTGACCGACCCAGGGATCCGGCGCACCGCGCGGGTTCAGAAGCAGAGGACGGGAGGGCAGGCTGGGCGGTTCTCGGCTCGGCGGCCTCACCCCTGGTCAGCTCTGGCTCCCGCTCCGCCTCTGCTCCAAAGCAGCGGCCACGGACCCTACGGCCGCGATGCGGCAGCGGCTCGGGATCTCCTTTGCCGGTGTCGTGCACTGGCTTCCTACTTGTGACCCAAACCTGCGCCGCCACCGAGCATGCCCAGTGCCCCTACCGCTCCCCGGTCGCTCCCGGATGTGATCCGGGGCTCCGGATTTTATAGACTACGGTCGGGGGCGGGGAAAGGAGGCGGAGTAGGAGAGGAGGCGTGGCTGAGAGCCCGCAGAGACCCAGGGGGCTGCGGAGGGGGCGTGCGCAAGTGCGGCCGGGGCGGGGCCAAGGGGAGGAGCTCACTGAGGGGTGGATGGGTGGTGGGGGGCGTGAGGTCGGCCTCACAGCAAGCAAACGCGAAATGTAAGAATCCATTTGCTTTACTTAAGAGATAAACTGTGGCTTGTGGAAGAAAGTTGATTATTTGAATTAATGAAGAACCCACCAGATTATTTTCAATTAAGTGAGAAGGGCTTCACATTTATAAAAATAGGATGAGAACAGCAGGATAAGGTAAGAAAAGTATTAACTTCGGAGTTAGATGAAACTGTTCAATTCTCGCCTCCACCATCTACTCTGACTGTGAGACCTTGGGCAAGTTATTTCCGTACCTGCATAAAGTTGTATTAGTTCTGTATTCTATGGATGTTGTAAGAATGTGCACAATGCAGACAATAAATTACCCAGTTTTTAAGAGGAATCAATTTGTCTACAAATTTTTAGACGTGTATATATTACAAATATTTATGTGTTATCTAAATTAACTATTTGATGACATACATGCTTTGGATGGTGATTCACTGTGACAAAAGGAGCTTTATCAACATCTCCAGATGGAAGGAATCATGTCCAAACAATACATTCCTCATCCAAACCTAAGTTTAATCAATTAAATTATGCAAATGATGTTACTCTAGAGGTAGAAAATATTAAAAACAACAGAGGTCAGCCCTATCCTGGAGGGTAAAGGAAGGAACGAGGTACCTCACCCCCAAGTAATTATTCAACAAACAACGTGTTAACAAAACAATGACATGACAGGTCAGAGGAAAAGGGACAGCAACTAGATAGACATTACTGAGGCCAGAAACTGTGCTTATTGTGACTGCTTCCCTTACACGACAAAGTTAACATTTAGTGAGCACTTACTAACTGCTAAATGAATATATGATAGTAGATGGTAGTCTCTTTTCCCACACCATTCTTACTGGATGTGCCTATCTCAGGGATTGGGGACATGTGTACCCACCTTCTGGCTGTAATTTCCATGGTGGTGTGTGTGTGGGATGTGGGTGGGAGTGTGGGGATGTTTGAAGCTCAGGAGACGTTTCAGTCAGCAGCATAAAAACCAAGGATCATTCTAATTTTCCAGAGCCAACTCAACACCCTCAGCTACTGGGCCCACTCTTCCTTGTATCCCCTTGTACCTTCCTTGTACTTCTTGTCACCTCACCAGACCTGTATGGTTCTGGCTTTCTGGTTTTTTTGTTTTTTTTTCTGCTTGGAATTCTCCACCTGACACATTCTTGTTCATCCTTTGAGTCCGTTACTCCTCTCTGTATTTTGGTCACCTTTGTACATGCCTCTCTTTCTATATTATGATAGAATCATTTTTTAAATATCTCCACACTAGATAATGACTTCTGGGCTAGAAATGACTTTTGTATCTTTTAATCCTAGAAAAGTGCTTTGTGTAAATGTTAGCTTCTAGGGAGACAGGTACTGAGAGGTATGAGGAGGCTGGGACAGTGTTGGTCATTGTTTCACAGCAGGTGAGACAGCCAAAGGATCGTTTTGTTATTCTCATAGTTTCATCTTCGTTTGCATAGACCTGCCTAGTTCAACACAATAGGCACCAGCCACATGAGGTTACTGAGCCTTTGAAATGTGGCTAATTTGACTGAGAAACTGAGTTTTAGTCTTATTTTAATCCACTTAAATGTAAATTTCAAAATTGATATTCCTTTCAGTTACTGGAAAACTTTTAAGTAAATTTGGAACAGGTTGGGAATGTGAATCCACTTTTTTCATCTTTTAATTTTATGAAATCTAAATACAGATCACCTATTTCCAACGAAAATTTAGTGGCCTGGGAGATGTGCTCTGAGTGTAATATACACACCAGATTCAAAGACTTAGTACAAAAAAAAAAGGAATATAAATATCTCAGTAATTTTGATTACATGTTATCATAGTTATTTTGGATAAGATACAGTATATTACATCAATTCACTTTTTAGTTTTTAAAGGTGGCTAATGGAAAATTTAAGATTACTTATATGGCTTGTATTCCACTTAATTGAAACAGCGCAGATGTAGACATTTACACTTTGCAAAGCGTACACTTTTCCCCTACACCTGCTGCATTTCCTTACAATGCCGTGAAGATGGTCTCTTGGGACAGTGTAAGTTTCGTTTTAATGAGGAAACAGGAACGGAGTTCAGAAGGGACTAAATTCCGGTCTAGCCAAAGCTCTACGCGATACTGAATGTAGTGAGTTAACACTATCCTTTGAGTCACTCAGTCCGATTCCAGTTGACATTCACAGAAGAGGGCCTCTTCTACCCTATCCCCGAATTCCAAACCAGCACCCCAAGAGACAGCCCAAGGGCTCTGAACAGTCCCAAATCGAGTGCAGCGTGGTGGTACCTCCTGGCAGCTATGTCAAATTTAAACCATGACTTCCACAGTGCCCTTACCAATCGCAGTTACAAGGGGGGGGAGGGCCCACCACAGACCAACATGTCACATTTAACAAATCATTCCCTTCTATTTGACAATCTTTACATTTTTAAGTTTATTTCTCCTCGATTTCATTCTGTAGATTGCGCTTCTTTCGACTGTGGGCTGAGTTTCGACTTCTGGGATTGGTTTTTCAGCGGACAGCTCCGGACAGATGTTTGGGGCTTTAACGATCTCTAAAGGAAAAAGAAGTTGCTGATACCTTCTTTTTCAAAATAGGCTGTTTCCCAAGCTTTGCCCAAAAGCGGACTCCCTCGTCGTTTTTCCACGAAAAGGACAAGATTTCCTCTGCCGGAACTACCCCAGCCAGTGGCTGTCCACCCGCCGCTAGCTCGCTTCCCAACACCCGGAGGTCGCGAGCGCCGCCAGGAAAACCCGGACCGTGGAACCCTGAGGCTGGGGACTCACTCCGCGCAAGCGCGCGGCCGAGCTGAGCGTGCTCAGCGGGCGGGTCTGTCGCGGGAGGAAGCGGCGCGGGCCGCGGGCGCTGCACGCCGCGCCGTTGTTGTGATACAGCCCCGCCACGTGACTGCGCCGGGCCCGCCTCCCGGCGCGCAGTCCCGCCTTCCCGTGACTCAGCACTTTGTGCGGGGCCCGTTCTAGAGGTCAATCCCTGGAAGGCTGCTGGGGGCCAAGGTCTCGGTCGCCGCCTCTGACTCGGGGCTGCTGCCGTGGGTGTTGCACCAGCCCTTTCAGACTCGTGGTTTTCGGGCCTCCCAGCAAAGGGGAAAAAAATAGTTCCCTGCAGGCACGCCGTCCCCAGTTTCCCCTGAGTCAGCGGCTCCGCACGGTATCCGGAGCTGGCGTCTCAGAGACCGAATGCAGAGGCGCTGTACTTGGGGTCTCTGCGGGAGAAACCTGTAGTGCCCAGACCCTTGCAGTCACCCGCTGCGGCCCGTACTGCCTCTGTCGCCTGAACATCCGCCATAGGATCTTTGGGGGGGTGTTCTTGGCACACCTGCTTTATCCCAACCACTGATCTGGAACTCATATAGACCTGGTGGTTCTGTTTCAAAGATGAGGCAGCTTAGATCCGGTAATGCTAACTAACCGGTGAGACTGCGCAGGGATTTGGATATCTGTGATTTCAAAACCTGCGCACTTTCTGCTGCACCTCACAGCTTGGGCCTCCCTCCATGGAACTCTTACTTGGGTCTTGGTACTCCACTACAACTCTCCTCTCCCTCGACACACCCTTTCTTTCCCCAGAAGACCCCTGGTCAGCCAGTAAGGTGCTTAGAATTTTTATTTTAATTAATTGGTAGAAACACACAGTTATTTCTTAAGTGTACATAGTACAAAATGCAAAATATGTAGAAAGGATTTTCTCCCTACAGTTGCATTATACTTGGAATCTGATTTGACTATATTGAAGAAGGCTCCCAGGGCCTTATGATAGAAGAGCAGTAGCTAAAAGACTGCGGTCTTCACCCCAGCTCATAGGGTGATCTGCTGGGTCAAACTAGGCAAAGTTGTGTTCATCATAAGGGGCCCCTCCCTCTTCACCTGCTCAAATGAGAGTCTGGAGGAAATGAGGTTTCCCTTCCGACCTAAATGGTCTGATGTCAATGCTACTAAATTAGTTGAAAAATGCAAATCTTTTTGTATTTGGTAGTATTTCTAACATATGCTGCTGAGATGTGCTGTTGTCATTTTTAATAACAAAACAGAACCTCTTTTTAACTTGGTTTTTAAACGTTTTAGTTCACAAGGATTTTTTAAAAAATGCAAACACGCATTTTCTTATGTAGTTATGAAAGATCTCAGTCTTCTAAAGTGAAGGCCTTTATTAAGATGAAGAAGCTCGAGTGTATAAAGGAGATGGATAGGAGTCAACGGAGTGAGATTAAAGGTGGAAGGATGCCTTAGAAGCAAGATTTCTTGGGAGATAGAACTCGGAATCCAGAACACATGTGAAATAGTAAGGTTTGTTTTTTCTTTGTCTTTTTCATAACTGTCAGGCTCCTTGTGAGATGATAGGAAAAAGGGTAAGAATGCCAAGGTCGATGTGTTGGGACGGGAAAGGTGATAGCTGAGTCTGGGAAGCCAACGCTCTTTTCACTGGAGTAAAAGACACTTTTTTAAAATTATGGAACTTTTTATTATGAATGTTATTTAAAATGCTGCTTTTTATTATGGACATTTACAAACTAGCAAAACCATAAAAAGAACGTAGTATAATGTACCTATTACCTGCCTTGGGTATCATCATATGGCTAATCTTGTTTCAGGTATTCACCCCTCTCATTAGTTTACAGTAAATGTCACTGGAGTATGCTCTCTGGTACTTAGGGCTGACGAGAGAAAGACGACAATAAAAAATGATTTGAGCAATTGGTATGAGGGGTTATCCAGGAAGATGGAAGGAATGAGCAATAGGCTAATCCCTT